TCTCTCTCTCTCTCTCTTTCTCTCTCTCTCCTTTCTCTCTCTCTCTTTCTCTCTCTCTCTCTCTCTCTCTCTCTCTCTCTCTCTCTCTCTCTCTCTCTCTTCTCTCTCTCTCTCTCTCTCTCTCTCTCTCTCTCTCTCTCTCTCTTCTCTCTCTCTCTCTCTCTCTCTCTTCTCTCTCTCTTTCTTTTCTTTCTTTCTTTCTTTCTCTCTCTCTTTCTGTTGGTTACATATTTTTGTTATAGATATTGCATTACTTATTATTTTGGGACATTTTATTATTATTAGATTGATTATCTATACATCAAATTTGATTTGACACCAAATGCACTGCCATCTTTATTTAGATAGTTGTGTTGTGGCACAAGGTTGAGAGCAATTAAGAAATTATGATGCTTCTTTCTCTTCTTGCCAACCAAGAACACACCCACATGCGCCTGTTCTTTTGTTTATTGACACATTTAAAATAATGACCAATGCATCTGCAATAAGGATTATACCTAATTTTGGTGATGAAAATGTGACTGTGTCTTATAGTAGGCAATTTGGCCTTCAGAACCTCTCATTTCGATGATGTGTGTATGGTGTCCGTTCACACTGCCTGATCCTGAGGCAGCAGGAACACTGGCTTGGAGGAATTGTTTGCTAAGAGAATTTGTTTTGAAATTATATTCCTCAAAAACAAAATTTACATTGAAAATTGACATATTTCATGCAATAACCATTTGGTTGAAGTTGTTTTTGCACATGTCAGATGTATGGGAATGGTGATAAATAGTTTGAGATTGTTTTACCAACAATAAAAAGAAGTAATAATAATCAGTTTATAAAGTAAAAAATAAAGTATCTCAAAATGATTTGATAAAAAAGAAGCATACTTTAGTGTTCATCATAATGGAAAAAAGGAGTGTGCTGTCTGAAATGACTGTCTTTGTAAGTAATATGTATTGTATTTCTCTCTTCCCCAGATTGCTTACAGCTTGGCAGTGGCTGAACAAGAGTTGGAGTTCGAACACCGTGATCTCCACTGGGGCAATGTGTTAGTAGCACCCACAAAAGACTCAGTGATAGACTTTAGGGTAGCAGGAGCCAATTACAAGCTGCCCACAAAGGTAAATTTTCATTCTTTTCTTTTCTTTTGATCATCCCCTCTCAGCCCCCAACTCCACAATGTTTTGGAATGTGTAAGATTATTTGTATAATTTATTGTATCCAGGATGTTGATCCCTGTGATAGTGAGATGGATAACAGCACAGGAATCCTGTATAGTTTCTCATTTATTGCAAACTTTGTACATGTGTCAGGTCATGTCTTTCAAATTATATTTGACAAGAACCTAAAACAATTCTTTTTTACAGGGGTTGAAGGCTACTGTGATTGATTTCACCCTATCACGTCTTCGCCTAAAGCACTGTGTGATGTACAACAACCTTGGAGAAGACCCCTCATTGTTCACAGCAGAAGGGGATTATCAGTTTGAAATATATAGGCAGATGAGAAAAGCAAATGGGTATGAAATATCTGAGCTTTTGTTGTTTCTACCCTTTTTTCCTTCAGTTGACTGTCTTATCTGCATTTCTTCTATTCTGTCATTTAGATGTTTGACCTTTATGAGGTTAATTTTGAAATGAAGATTATCATATTTGCACAATATTGATATTTCTTTGGTGTGAAGAAATTTTCTGTAAAGATATATTCGTACTCTTTTGGGCTATTATCTTTCTTTTTTTTTTGCTCAGAAACCATGCCACTTTGATGATGATTTATTTATACAGTTGTTATTTGCACCAACAGAAATGACTGGGAGAAATTTACACCATACACCAATGTTCTGTGGCTGCATTACATTTTAGACAAGATGATTGGTGAATGCTACTACAAGAAAGTGAAGACGAAAGTGCACACCAGTAATCTTGCCCAACTTAGAAAACTCAAAGGAAAGATGCTGAGCTATGAAAGTGCAACAGATTTTGTTTTCCAGAGAGAGATGAACATTTAGTTTTTTTATTTTATTATTATTTTTTTATGGTTCTTTCTTTGTGATGACTGTCTTTTCCATGAAGCTTTTGAAAGTTCAAATGTTTAAGTCAAGAACAAGGGGAAATCCTTGTTTTTCTATTGTGCTCACTGTAAATTGATGTGTAAATTTGTAAATATATAGACTTTTTTATATTTGTTTTCATTTCCCTTCTTTTTTTATATTGTGCTTTGTTTGGATAATACTGATTGTTTTATATTCATGTATAGATTTGTTGTTTTTAAGTCCATTCAAAGAAGTCATACTTTTAGAAATGTTTTTTTTTATTATTATTATTTAGCTACTTCCTAAAGCTTATAGACAAGAACATATTTTTTTCAGTTGTCAGTACTGCATTGACTATTATTTTTATTATTTTTTAATCAAGCCTTTGGCTGTTTGCTTTGTCCATCTGCCTTTCCAAACATGTTCAAAAGGCGAATCATCTTCATATGTTCTTTAAATGTATTTCCACAAAGTATTTAAAAAGTCCGTTAGCAACTTTTGTTAAACTCAAAGTCGGAAAAATAAGTGGTTACTGAATTTAACAACCCATGTATAGGATTTTCATTTTATCATTTGTATATAGATAGTGTTCAATCTGTCTGGTAGCGATAGTGAATCTTAACTTGATCATAAATTAACCACAGAACTTTAGGCCTGTTGAACTAATATGAATACTTCAATACTTAGTACCAGTTTGGTAACATTGTACTATCACTGAGCAATCAGCAGAAATTGTACTGAATCTGCAGCTACCAAAATATAACTTTAGAAAGAGAAATTTCTCTCCTCCCTCTGTAATCCAATGCCCGTTGTTATCATGATGGTGACTGATTTTTAATGAGGGGAATCACCCCTGCCTTGGACCTCAGCCCTTGCCTCAACTAATGCATGGTCTTTACTTCTCCTACTTTCCTTTTCTTTCTCTTCATCCCCTTCTGTCTTCATACTAAAGTGTGAGAGCCATGCTGAGTGGATGATGAAAGACTGCCTTTGTCAGTCCTGAATGGCCTTTATACTCCATTTCCATTTCCTCCTTACCCTTTTCACTACCATATTAACAGCGCTCTACAACCTTTGACATCTAACATATTTTGTTTGAATTGTTAACTCATTTTAAAACTTTTTGCTACAGTGCTTTTATCATTGTTATATGACCTTTCCTTACCTGGGGCTTTGCTCCCAAGCATCGCCAGATTGCTTTATTTTTTGTATACGCAGCTAATGCCCTTAATCTGTTACAGCATCTCTCCCAGGTACCAAAATACTGATATGACACGAAGGTGATGCTTTGACCTGTTTATTTTAGCAAAATGTATTCCTTGGTACCGTCTGATAATACTCGACAAATTTATTTAATCTGATAAATAGTTCTGATGGAAGGCACTCATTAAGTATATCAAGCCACTGAACCAGATGTTAATCCAGAGAAATGTAGGAAGTCTTGATGACAATGACCTTATGCTTAGATCTGCTTAATATTTCAGATAAAGCTTGTTTTTTTGCTTCTCGACATAGGTGTAGAAGAGGCTGAAATGTAGCAGAGTAACTTCAATTTTGATTTCTTCATGATCCTTCTGGCATTCATTTCCCCAAGTCCATTCTAACTCCTCTCTTGAGAACCTTTTGTAATGTTTATATATCATTCATTCAGTCTCTCATTGTTTTTTTTGTTTTTTTTCTTATCCATTTTTTCTCTGCTTCCCTCGCTGTTGTCATGGGGGGGAGAATTAGCATCCTTAACTCTGACTACCGTATCGAGTTTGATCCTAATCCACTGTGTCCATACTGAAGACGACAATCCCCACTGCCAGACGGCACGACAATAATGTTCAGTAAAAACTTTCGTACTCATTATTCTATCACCACTGTTCTCGTGTAAACATGTCGGAAAGAAGAGAAATGCCACACGTGAAATTCGCTCTTTTGGGAGATTCCATGTTTTTTTCTTTTTTTTGTAATGACATGTTTTTGGTTATTATATTTAAGAATCAATTTTAGACATCCCTTAGGTTTCAAAATATCTATCATATTTAATGTGTATTTCATGAGTCTGAATGAGACTAATGTTTTCATAATGTTAATTATCTTTTGTAATTTTTTTTTTTTTATCTCTGCACTGCTTTGCCCTCTAATTGTTTAGTGTTTCGTTAATAATAATATAGACTTCTCAGATGCTTCTGAAGACCACCTTTCCCTTCTCTCCATTAAAAAAAAAAAAGATTCCATAATTTCGTCACAGTTGGGTCAGATGGGGGTGGAATACAATATATAGACCTATAAACTTAATCGAAAATAAAGGCTTAAGAAACATCGCATCCTCGCTCTCTTCAAAACCCGCCAACGGAAGCAACGCAACGCGGTCATTGCAGTCTCAGGAATGCAAAATTGCACTTTCTTTATCATGACATATAGCCTGACGCTGCATAGATATGTGACCGCTTACCGCTTTCAGCTCTCACTTGCCTTTTAACATCTTTTAGCCCCTGTCTCTCTGTTTCTGTCGCTGCCTTTCCGTTTCTCTTTATCTCCGTCTCTGTTCTTTCTTTCTCCGTCTCGGTCTCTCTGTTTCTTATCTCTATCTGTTTTTCTTTCTCTTTGTCTATGTCTCTGTTTTTGTCTGTTTCTGCCTCCATCTCTGTCTTTTTGTTTCTCTATCTCTAACTCTCTGTTTCTCATTCTGTTTTTCTTTCTTTTTCTCCGTCTCTGTCTCACTGTTTCTCTTTCTCTATCTCTGTCTGTCTCTCTGTTTCTCTTTTTCTGTCTCTCTGTTTCTCTTTCTCTATCTCTCCGTTTCTCTATCTCTGTCACTTTTTTCTATACCACCTAGAGGGTTACTTCATCCATATTCACTTATTTTGTGTATCTATTATCCTCCATTCCACAGCAGCGGTCTGTTCAAGTAATCCTTTCCTGTAATTTTAAAGCATTCGATTATCTTTGCTTCGCTGTTTTTGCCGCTTCGGATCAATGATTCAGATAGCCTATTCACATCTAATAGGCTTGGACTCTGTTTTGAATTATAGCAATGCACGTCGGTGGCGTTTCTCTGTGAGTGAGATCGTAATTAGCCAGGCACCGCGCTTTTCCTCTGACAATCTTTCGTGTCTTTGCTTTTCTTTCCACACACATGCTCCTACACACACAGACACACACTCTTAAACACAAATACAAGCTCTTACACAGACACACGATACACAGACACACGCTCTTAAACACAGGCACACGCTCTTATAATATATATAATATATATATATAATATAATATATATATAATATATATATATATATATATATATATATATATAATATTATATATATATTTATATTTATATTTATATTTACACACGCAGACACACACACACTCTTACACACTCACAGACTCACACCCACACATACATAGGAACACGCACAGACAGAAGTTCGCACGAAGATGGGGCTAAAAGTAGCTGATTTTTTGGAACGATTTTGGCGCCATCTGGACGAGATTTGAATAACGATAGAAGAAAAGAAACCTAAGGTAGTGGAAGCGAGGTGAAGGGGTGACATGATCTTTTTTTTTTTTTTTTTTGCATAGGTTTTGGTAATGATGGAGTTCGGAAATGAACAACGAGCGTCTCCAAAAAATAGAAAAAAACAAAAAAAACACGAGGTAATGATTTATAAGATAAGTCGCGCTGAGCAGGGTGCAAAGAAATTAAGTTATCCAGATAGGAATGTTGACAAGTGGCATAACATTGCAGAAGATGTATACTGCAATTAAAGTGGCATCAGCCCAAAAAGTTACGTGTTAATCTAAACAAAGGATCCCGCGCGATCAGCTCTTTCTCACGTTGTGAAATGTAAAGCAAAAACATTTCTGCAAAGACGCCCACGCTCACCCGCGCTCTCGCCCCGGCCCTTGGGAGTTCTGCCTGCTTTTGATATATTTGTCTCTACCTGTCGTTATATATATATATATATATATATTATATATATATATATATATATATATATATATATATATATATATATATATATTTATATATATTTAAGTATCACACACACACACACACACACACACACACACACACACACACACACACACACACACATAATATAGTATATATATATATATATATATTATATATATATATATAATATATATGTGTGTGTGTGTGTGTGTGTGTGTGTGTGTGTGTGTGTGTGTGTGTGTTGTGTGTGTGTGTGTGTGTGTGTGTGTGTGTGTGTGTGTGCGTGTGTGTGCGTTGTGTGTGTGTGCGTGTGTGTGTGTGCGTGTGTGTATATATATGTATATATGTTTGTATATATGTGTTTGTGTGTTTGCAAAGAGGGAGAGGCACATACACACACGCGTAGGGTAAGAGATAGCTGGAGAAAAGAGAAAGAAGTGCGGAGAGAGAGAGGCGACAGGCAGAGAAAGAGAAATATAGAAACAGATAAGAAGAGAAAAATGAGATATGCATATATCTATATACAGAGAGAGAAAGGTGGAAAGTTTGAGAGAGGTAGACACAAAGACTTCATTTTCTTCTGAAAACAATGATATTATTGAACAAAATGTTTCTCATCAATGAAAATGCTATCGTCTAATCTGCGTACATTACAGTAACTGCATTGAATTTCACTCCAAGGGAATTAGACGCGAATGATAGAAAACGAACGACTGTCGCTTGTCAGTCAACTACACAGCACTTTAAACGCTAAGTAGGCCTATCATTATGAATGTTCTTATTGCCAATAAAATACATTACAACCTATATAATCATGAAGTCCATTTTTATAAACAATTATATTTATCATGTACAAGAGGAAATCATTTACGAAAGAAACGTACATACTTGTACACTTCAAAATTGTAATTGCTGTAAACAGAAAGTCATTAAGAATTCTACTCGTATAGAAAAAAAAACGGTTATTTGTAAGCATACATCTCACATTCATAACACACTAGTTAATAAAAAATGCCACCAATGGTAAGAACGATATAACAATGATAATGATTTTGTTACTGATAAGGAAAGGATAATGTTGATTATAATTATGATGGTAATAATTAGAAAGAGGATTTGTCATAATAACAACAACAATTATGAGAAATAATAAAAGAAAATGTAACAAAGATTTTTAGAATATATAATTGTACTCTTA